TCCAAGAGGCTTCGTCAGTCTGAGGCCTAGCCATCTGGTATTACCCAGAAGCCACCCTGACTCTTGTGTTTCAAGGATGAGGGGCGAAACGTTTCTTTTTAACAAAAAAACGAAGTCCAGATGACATGATTCAACCTTTTTTGTTGTTATATACCTGGATGACTGAGAAAACAAACTTTGTGTTTTTGAAACTATTAGTGAAAAGGCCAGACTTCAGGGGTATCTGAGGCAGGCTTGAAACACAAGAGTCAGGGTGGCTTCTGGGTAATACCAGATGGCTAGGCCTCAGACTGACGAAGCCTCTTGGATGAGGGGCGAAATGTTTCTTTTTAACAAAAAAACGAAGTCCAGATGACATGATTCAACCTTTTTTGTTATATACCTGGATGACTGAGAAAACAAACTTTGTGTAATACAGTAGGTGCAAACGGCACACGGCTGTATCTCTGTCCCCCCCACCCTCTAAAACTGTCTGTATAAACAGCGCGCTGCGCAGCTCAGGACATGTCTCCGTCCATCCCCCCCCCCCCCCCCCCCCCGCACAAAAATCACAGAGGAGATCGCCCTGCCACGGCAAGTTATCTGGGGGAAAACACTGTTACGCATTTATTTAATGGTCAAAACAGCTTCATTTCACCTGGGCGGTGCCATCCATCCATCATCCATCCATCGTGGCCAGAGCCGCTAGCTCTCCAGCGTTCCACCGCTTGCACCAGCTGAATGAAGCGAGCGTGCATGAGAGGACTCACTGTTGCAGTTCTTAGAATTTTAAAGCATCAGTCAAAAATTGCATTATGAATATGATTTAAAAAAATGTATATAAGTCGCTTTGGCGTATAAGTAACAGGACTGACACATCTATGCAAAAAAAACTGTGACATATACGCTGGAAAATACAGTATTTTAAAATAAATATGTTTTGTTCTATTGCAACAAACAAGAATCACCCATCAAGTATAACTGATTAAAAGTTGAGAATAATTGACTTGGAAGTAAATTTAAAAAAGCTTTTACAGATCAATGATTATTAATCTTCTGCCAAAAATTAGACACTAAGGAGCTAATTAAAGTGATTAATAAAAGTTACAGTCTGGTAAACAAGGTCTTTGACCTTTCTGATTGTATTTACGTTCTTTACAAAGAGAAGCAATTTGTATGAATTTAATAACCTGTCACCGCTTTGTTTTCAGTGCTAATTACTTGTTGACATTTTGTCGTCCAAGTGCATAAAAAAAGTTGCCACAAAAAACAGCCTGCTGCTGCTGCCGCCTTGTTGACTGTTCTGCTTAGGCTGAAATCTTAATGCTCCTGCCAACCAATCACAGGAAAATACTTTTAAGCTTGTCTGAAAAGTAAAATTTGTTTAGTTTGAGTAAGTTAAATTTGTGTGAATAAGTGGCACAGGCAATTTATATCTTAGATCCTTATTTCTGTTTCTTTTACAATTTATATTTTTGCTGTTGTTGGATGTAACTGGGACCCTGTGTACACAATTTCATACCACCTCATGTACCACATGTGATGTGAATGACAATAAAGAACATTGAATAAGTCCAGGTAAGAAAAGACAGCTGTTAGGTGAAAAAGTTCATATTATTATCAAGTATTTGTTGTTTGTTTCATCAAAGTTCATGCTCAGTAATCCAGGTAAAAAAAATCCAACAAAGTTCAGTCAGGTCATCTGGACGGTTTCTTTTTTTTTGTGGTTGAGAAGTTTTGCCCTTCATCCAAAGGACTTCATCAGTCCCAGGAGCCACAACAAGCTCTACAAGTCCCACACTCCCATAGTGGATCAACCAGTTTGCTGGTGATGAGATGGTTTCTGGGGCCCGCCCTCTCCCCCGTTGACTCCTCTGAGGCAGCCATAGCCAAAGTGGTTCAAAACATCAAAGTTCATGCGCAATAATCCAGGTAGAAAATCCAACAAAGTTCAGTCTGGTTATCGGGACGAAACTTCTCAACAAAAATAAAAACTAAACTGTCCAGATGATCGGACTGAACTTTGTTGGGTATTTGTTGTTTGCATCAACTTAATATGATTCTAAACAAAATAAAAATAAAAATGTTCCTTGAAAGAAATACACATCACCCACCACCTTTCACGCCAGAGATTAGACTAAAAAATCCTCATAAGAAGTGAGAAGGGATGGGATTATAGCTGGTTTGGTCAAATCTTAATCTAACATTAATCATTCATGTAATGTTTTTATGCAACTAGTGCTTAGTGTATATTTAGTTGATGTTTTTCTTAGTTCATATCTTAGATCTTACTGTTTTTCTTTTACATTTTATTGTTGGATG